CATAGTACATTGTTTTCCACCCCTCACTTTAAATCTGGAGGTGTCTTCGGGTCTCAAATGAGTTTCTTGTAGACAGCATATTGGTGGCTTTTGTTTTTTTATCCATTCTGATACCCTTTGTCTTTTGATTGGGGCATTTAGCCCATTAACATTCAAGGTAACCATTGAGAGATATGAATTTAGTGCATTGTATTGCCTGTAAGTGACTGTTACAGTATATTGTCCCCAATCCTTTCTGGTCTACTACTTTTAGGCTCTTTCTTTGCTTAGAGGACCGCTTTCAATATTACCTGTAGAGTTGGTTTGGTGTTTACAAACTCTTTTAGTTTTTGTTTGTCCTGGAAGCTTTTTATCTCTCCTTCTATTTTCAATGATAGCCTATCTGGATATAGTATTCTTGGCTGCATGTTTTTCTCATTTAGTGCTCTGAATATATCATGCTAGTTCTTTCTGGCCTGCTAGGTCTCTGTGGATAAGTCTGCTGCCAATCTAATATTTTTACTATTGCATGTTACAGACTTCTTCTCCCGGGCTGCTTTCAGTATTTTCTCTTTGTCACTAAGACTTGTAAGTTTTACTATTAGGTGATGGGGTGTGGGCCTATTCTTACTGATTTTGAGGGGGGTTCTCTGCACCTCCTGGATTTTGGTGCTTGTTCCCTTTGCCATATTAGGGAAATTCTCTACAATAATTCTCCCCAATATGCCTTCTGCTCCCCTCTCTCTTTCTTCTTTTTCTGGAATCCCAATTATTCTAATATTGTTTCATCTTATGGTATCACTTATCTCTCGAATTCTCCCCTCGTGGTCCAGTAGTTGTTTGTCTCTCTTTTGCTCAGCTTCTTTATTCTCCATCATTTGGTCTTCTATATCACTCATTCTCTCTTCTGCCTCATTTATCCTAGCAGTAAGAGCCTCCATTTTTTTTTTTTAACATTTTATTTATTTTTCAGAGAGAGAGACAGAGAGGGCATAAATGCAGAGGGAGAGGGAGAAGCAGACTCCCTGCCAAGCAGGGAGCCTGATGTGGGTCTCGATCCCAGGACACTGGGATCATGACCTGGGCCGAAGGCAGATGCTTAACAACTGAGCCACTCAGGCACCCCAAGAGCCTCCATTTTTTTATTGCACCCCATTAATAGCTTTTTTTATTTCAACTTGGTTAGATATTAGTTCATTTCTCCAGAAAGGGCTTTTATTTCTCCAGATAGGATTTCTCTAATGTCTTCCATCCTTTTTCAAACCCAGCTAGTACCTTAAGAATCATCATTCTGAACTCTAGATCTGACATATTACCAACATCCCTATTGATTAGGTCTCTAGCCTTCAGTACTGCCTCTTTTTTCTTTTTTTTTTTTTGGTGGTGAGTTTTTCCTCCTTGTTATTTTATCCGGGTAAGAATATATGAACGACAGAATAAAATACTAAAGAGGTGGCAAAGACCCCAGAAAAATGTGTGGTAACCAAATCAGAAGAGACCCCAAATCATGGGGAGAAGAAAGGGGGTAAAAAGTTAAAAAAAAATTTTTAAAAAGGAAGAAAAATAAAAAATATATGTATTAATATATATTTTAGACTGATGAATAGAACAGAGCTACCCACTTGATTTTGGGTGTACTTTGGTATCTTAGAAGAAACTACCTCCCAAAATTTTAAAGAAAGAAAACCTTATATCTATAAAAAAAAAAATAAGGATCAATGAAGTGAATGAAGGATCCAATGAAGGATCAATGAACTTACATCTATTAAAAAAAAGGATCAATTACAATGAAGTAATGGAATATGACTATAAAGATGAAAATTAAAAAAAAAGAATTCTAAAAAAGGAGTTGACAAGATAAGTTGGTTGGGAAAAAAAAGAAAAAGAAAGTGGAGAGAATTTGCTCGGGTTGGACACTAGAACAACCCTGTGCTAAATTTAGGGTATATTTTGATCTATTAGAAGAAGTTGTATCCCAAAATTTTTTAGGAGAAAAAACCCTATGTATATACAAAATATTAAGTTAGATACAATGAAGGATAAAATATGACTATAATAATAAAGGTTCAAAAAGTTTTTTTTTTTAAGAAAGGTATTGTTAAGATAAACTAGTTAAAAAACGTTAAAAGGAGAAAGAGTAAAAGTTAAAAAATTAGAATAAGAAAAAAAATTTAAAAAATTGAATTAACTTTGCAAGACTAAAGAATCATGGGAGAAAGCCATGAATTTCATGCATGCTTTCTCCTCTGGAATTATGCTGTTCTCCTTGATCAGTGAGCTTGGTCTTGGCTGGATTTCTTGCTGATCTTCTGGGGGAGGGGCCTGTTGTAGTGATTCTCAAGCGTCTTTGCCTGAGGCATACTTGCACTGCCCTTACCAGGGCTAAGTAACCAGCTCTGGTTAGCTCTAGGAAGCTTTTGTTCCCTGAACACTTTCCGTAGAGCTCTGAAGGACGGGAATATAAATGGCGGCCTCCCAATATCCCGCTCGGAGTTACCGAGAACTCGGAGCCCCGCTCCTCAGTGCGCCCTCAGAGAAAAGTGCTCAATCATTCCCATCTCCCTGGTCTCCGGCCACACTCCCAGCTCACCCAGCCTGTGGCCTGTGACTCAGTGTTTCTGTCTCTGGTACATAGCCCTGTTTGGAGTCTCCAAACCCAGCAGATCCCTGCCGCTTGGGGGGGGGGGGGCGTGGTCCTCCCTGGATCTGCCACTTGTGGGGTCCCTGCTCAAAGAGCAGTGGTCCAACTGTGCCACGGATCACAGTTCAAGGTAACCCTGAACTATGAGCTCACTCCTCTGCTCTGTCTCTGTAACTGGCTTCCCTGCTCTAATACCCGTGAACTCTGCTATACTCAGATACCCCCGATCCTTCTGTGACCCTGCAGGACCTGAGACCATGATGTCCCCATGAGGGCTCCACCCCCGCTTCGCCTCTTGAGCAATGTCCCTCAGTGGAGTAGACTTCTAAAAGTTCTGATTTTGTGCTCCGTTGCTCCACTGCTTGCCAGGAGCCGGCCCCTCCCTCCACGGTCTATCTTCCCTTCCCTTCAGATTCACTTCTCCTCAGGTCCTACCTTTCCAAAAGTGGTCAATTTTCTGTTTCTAGAATTGCTGCTCTTCTTCTCTTCAATCTCCTGTTGGATTTGTAGGTGTTCAGAATAGTTTGATAACTATCTAGCTGAACTTCTGCTACCTGATGTTGTCTCAGCCTGCTACTCCTCCACCATCTAGACTCCTCCTTCTGGCAGTCTTTTTATAATGAGAATATGTTCGTTTAAATAGCAGCTTACATTATTTTTACTAGAGACTAATAGAACTACTTTACTAACTACTTCACTAGGATAACAGCCATGCCAACTTTAATTTAAAAACCCCGTTATTCTTTGGTGATAGATTATAGAAATCATGCAAAGCTTAAGTAAAGAATTTTCTGATGAAAGGAAGCTAATAATTGATAAGGTATACTCTCTCATAAAAAAGACTGACCATAAAGGTGAGATCAGAAGGTTCATTTGATGGAAAGTTCCTGGAATGGGAAGACCAGTGAAAGGGATATCAGCAAAAAAAAGGACAGATCCTAGCTACAGAATGAGGAAACATCCCTGAAACCCATATCCTGTTATTATTTCTACATTTTTATTGCAGAGCAGATATTAATTTAATTTGATTTGATAGAGTAAAGTAATCTGTTCCTGTTATCTGCTTTCACAAGGACCAACTGCCATAATTCTGTCTCACTGCTTCTCTACTTCATGACTCAAGTGAAGTGAAAATTTCTGCTTTGCTCTTGTGAACTCATATAGAAAATGCCACCCAGCTTTCTTTCCCTCACTTTCCTTACTGTTTGGCTTTACAGTGTCATTCACATTACTGCTGATCCTTGAAAAGAGCAGTAGAATTCACACAGATCCATGCTTTAAGTCCCTATGGGCATATAGTCAAGAGTTCTGGCTTCAGAATTATAGCACGACTACAGAAATAACCAGAGAAATAAATGTGTAACTATTCAAATAAAACTGAAGACTTACACCATAGTGCCAGCAGTGGCAGTAGCAGGCAGCATCAGTGGAGTCACTCTTCCTTTGGGCGATGAGGACTTTGGACTAGGGAGAGGCTATAAGCAGGGAAAGCTATGAAATTCAGAGTGAAGAAGATGGAGCATAGTAATAAAGCCTCAACACAGGAACAGGAAGATTCTCTGACACAGTCAGTCAGACTGTTCCCTGAGTCCAGCCATACATGGACCAAATGGGAAATGATTTTACTCTCAGTCTCGGGATTATTTAAGTAATATAACTTCTATTTAGTGCAAATCACAGGATGTTTGTTGTTTCTTTGCTTGCCTGTTTTAATTTCAGGTTTAATTAGATAACATGATAAGCTATCCCAATCTTTCTTGGTGTTAGACCTTCCTAAGACTTGTCTACAGCCTTGGAACTTGCATTAGTTCTCAGTACCTTTGGAACTTCACTAATAATAACCTCAAGCATAATGACCATGTCTGTGACTCCCTTTTGTTCACAGGCCAAAGGCAAGGCCTTACCTTGCTTTCTCTGTATCTCCAAGAAATGCTCTAAACACACCCTATTTCCCCCCATTCACGTATAGGTCAAAGGGCAAAAGGGAAGCACAGTTCTGCTGCATGCAGTCTCATTTACTATTATATGACTAGGTACCTTTTCTCCTTAGCCTTCTTTGAATCTAAAGCTAATGTCATTCCTAAAATTTATGGTAATCTCTAAGTTTTCTCATTATATGTAAAATGTTGGCCTTTACATCTTTATATAGGGATTTTGGGATTACTAAAACTCCTGTGCTTTTATGATAACATTTTTCAGATGGCTTTAAACACATTTTAAACTGAAATACAAAGTTATTTTCCTGTAGCTTGTGATCCTTTTTTGGAATTAAAATTTCTTGCATGGATTTTTTTAGGAAAAAATAATATTAGTTAAATGAGTGTTTTTGCTGCCTAATTGTGAGTTTCCTGTTTTGTTGTTGTTATTCTCCTACTTTCAGCTTTCTAAGAAGTATGGAGTCCATGTTTGTGGAGAAGGAGGAGAGTATGAAACATTCACTTTGGATTGCCCTCTATTTAAGAAGAAAATAATTGTGTAAGATATCATTTCAGCATTTCTTCCCTTTCTTTAAATTTAAGTGATGGAAACAACTTAACATTAAGCTTGAGGCAACTTTTGTTGGGAGAAATAGGATGTGTCCTCCAAGTTCACAAACACTCAATTTGTTTAATACCAGTGAAGTCGTCTGAATACCTAAATCAATACCTGACAAGACAAGGCCTTCATAGAAAGCTATAAACTTTTTAGATATTGCACTTTCGTTTACTTGCTGATTATGCCCTGCAGTAAAACTGGTACCTACACACTGACACTTTTATCCTTTCATGAAGTGTGAATTGCCTGTATTATTTATCTTTCATTACAGCTACATTTGATAAACTGCCACATCAGTAGCCTGTGGGTTCCATTAACTCCATCCTCTTTTTCCTTTTTCTTGGCTTTTACAACTTGGAATAGTAATGCTAAACATTTCTCTTTATTATTTGGGGTTATTTTTACATATAAACTTTGTTTTTGAGTGAATTCGGTTTGGGGCAAGCACGGTGATTTCTTTGCCATAGATTGTTAAAATTAGTGTAGTGAAAAACAAGAACTTTTTTTTTTTTTTTTTTTGCAGTCTGTTAACGTTGTCATCTATACTCTAATTTGTGTTCCTCTTCTCGTATGCTAAGAGAGCACTTGATCTGCTTTTTCTAAGCTCTTATTCTTGGGAAAGATTGGCAGAATTATGCTCGACTTAAGGAACCACGTCTGATGAAAGACTGGCATCCTGTTTCGAGTGGACAACTTCAACATGTTCACCACTGAAGGGTGATTTCTTTGTCATATTACTAATGAGTGAAGGAGTGATCTAAGAATATGAAAATGGAGCGCCTGGGTGGCTCAGTCGGTTTAGTGTCTGTCTTCAGCTCAGGTCGTGATCCCAGGATCCTGGGATTGAGTCCTGCATCAGGTTCCTTGCTCAGCTAGGAGCCTGCTTCTCCCTCTGCCCTCTCCCTGTTTGTGTTCTCTTGCTCTCTCATTCTCTCTCTGACAAATAAAATCTTTAAAAAAAAGAGAGAGAGAGAGACAGAGAAAGAAAATTAAGACAACTCTATGTGAATTTTCTAAAAAATATGTTTATCGGGGCACCTGGGTGGCTCAATGGGTTAAAGCCTCTGCCTTCGGCTCAGGTCATGGTCCCGGAGTCCTGGGATAGAGCCCCACATCGGGCTCTCTGCTCCGCAGGGAGCATGCTTCCTCCTCTCTCTCTGCCTGCCTCTCTGCCTGCTTGTGATCTCTGTCAAATAAATAAATAAAATATTTTTTAAAAAATACATTTATCTAGTGAAACATGGCCAAGATATTTTCATTATCGTATATGTAATATTCATCCACTCTTACTTCTTTCAGGTTTTTCTAACTTCCTTTCCATTAATAATCATTGACAGAATTTATTTTGCAAATATTTATCAAGTACCTATTATGTCTAAAGCATTCTACTGGGCACCGTTGATGTTCAAAGATAGCTCCTGCCTTCAGAGGTTGAGTGGAAGACACATCTCTGTACAATTAAGATACAAGATGATAAGGGATAAAAGTTATAAGTTCATATGTAGGAGACCGTTCTTCTGACTACTGTGATCACAAAATAATTCATGAATGAAATGTACATTAGGTCTTACTTCCATAAGAAAATACTGTTCCATTATTCAAGAAGAGTATTCGCATGTGAAGGTGAAATATAGTATAATGGGGGAACTCACAGTATATTTACTTATTAATATAGAGACTAAATTTGTAAAAAAAAAAAAAAAAGACATGCTAAGAGGAAAATGCTGAAGAATACAATTTTTCCCATTTATTTGACAACTTGAGGTTCTAAAAGTCTTTATGAACAACCAAGAATTATAAGAGATGTACTGCTTCACACTATATAAGCAGAAGGTCCATTTATTATAGTGCTTTAGACCTGAAAACTGAAACTTTTGTAGACTTCATTTGTAGGTGAGGGAACCTAAGCCTGGCCAAGACAATGCCATGGGAGAAATCAGTCATGCTAATTTTAGAGAGGGAATTCGGGGAGATATATTAAAACCCTTAGTGCTGAAATGTTTAGTTCAATTGAATAATCATTTATTGAGGTGAATTATATGGGTGGAACTCTGCAAGCTACTGCTCTGCTCTGTAGTTTTTCCTATAACAGGAGAGACAGGTGCATCAACTACATAAGTGCTAATATATACAGGTGTGTATCTTGAGAGCACAGAGGAAGCACTGTCTTTTCATTCCTACTCATCTATCAGTTCATCACTCATCTAATTCTGATGCTTAAACATATTCTGTGCTTCTTTCTTCATAGGCTATGCCTCATCTTATCTTCATAACTTTTTTACTTGATGCCTTTTCTCTAGCTTGCCTTCCCATTTTTCTCTTCCTTGCTAAATCCTTCCTTTTTTTTCTTTTTAATTGAAATATAGTTGACACACGATGTTACATTACATTACTTTCAGGTGTATGACCTAGCAATTCAACAAGTCTATAAGTTCTGCTCTGCCCATCACAAGTGTGGCCACCATCTGTCACCATACAGCACTACTACTACAGTACCACTGGCTATCTTTCCTATGCTGTAAAAATCCTTCCATTTTTAAAAGCTTCTGTTGCCATCCCTTCTAGTGCTTGTTCTCATTCCTGAACTCTTAGAACACATAGTTGTCACTCATAAGTGTTTGTTAAATATTGTTGCATTAATCAGTCATTTATTGTTTTTAAAAATTTATCCCATTTCCACTTACTTGTATGTGTTCTTTTTAGGTTGTAATTGGAGGTGATAGATTGGAACATATCCTAGTTTGTGGAAAAAGCATGTCACCTATTATATATAAAATCTTTCCTCCTCTTTAAAATAGAAAATGTCATCATCATGCCTACCTGATAAGCACTAAATATGATACTGGGAGTGAATATACATTGCACATTCTAAAACTGTATGTAAATGAAAGTTACTTTATTTAGAGATGATACAACTAAAAGATAAGTTCTTGTAACTGTTAAAAACTGACTATTAATAATACTGGATCTGGTAACTTTGAATTCATTCTTGGACAAATTAAAATTTCTCCTGTTCTGTGGTCTGCCACAATTGGCATAAAGCTAATTGATTATTAGGAATCCCATTTCAGATGTCTGATTCAAATTGTTTTGATGAAAAAGAGATCACCTCTAAGGGGAGAAAAAATAACTTTTTACCTACAAAATGACTTGATTATTATTAGGGCTTTTTTTTTTTTTTCTTCAAAAACACAGATTGAATTGAAGCAATTTAGAGAAATTGGGGTGGTTCTAGAAGCTTATTATAAGATACATTTTGTCCCAATTAACATTTTTCTAAATCTTGTAGGAAAGACTGATGTAGCAGTCTTTGTCTGGAAGTAATTTAAAAATTTTCTAACTAGAGCATTTTACAATTCACTTTTCATGTCAATTAATATGTGATTACTCACTTTTAGATATAGAGATTTTTAGTTCAGAAAGTGAAGGCTTTTTTTCTGAGAGGCCTTGAGGAAAACAATTACAGCTTAACCTTTATGAAAGGAGGATAATTGTGGGGCAATTGAAGGTCCTCAAATAGAGCCTACTTTCTTATTTCTTCTTACTTTAAAATACATGTGTGTATTTATCAGACATAAGAACAGAACTCTTAATGTTGTATTAATGAAAGTGATTTTCTTCTATTAATGAACATATTTTCAAAATGTCAGTATTCGATACATCCCCATCTTTCATTTGCGTTATTAATATTTATACTAATAAAGTTGCTACACATGGGATGGATGAAGGGAGGGGGGAAGGAAGGAAGTACTAAATTCTGTGGTTAAAACACTTTGTACTCATTTTTCCCACCTACTCCTATTTTCTACCCACTCAAGGCATAATTCAGCACAGGGCATCACAATGTGGCATTTAGCAGTGGGGATGAATAAAGTACTTATCTACCTTCTGACATCTATCCTATATTATGTGGGATTCATTTAAACTTACGAAATATTTTCCTTATATTTAAATAAACATTTAAATATATATAGACCTATTAAATGTTACCTTTATTGTGCTAGAAGATAGCATATGGTACATTGGTGTGTGTGCATGTATATATATGTACATGTATACCTGCAGTGTACACATATGAGAAAGTATTCATGAGAAGATAGGTAATTAAAAATATCAGTGTGGGTTTATGAGAATTCAATAATGTGTAATGTGAAGATACTTAACAAAATTTCAACTATAATCATTTATTCAACAAACGTCTGATGAAATACCAGACAGTGTACTCTGTACTGAGCCAAGAGGGGTGGTGTGGGGGGAGTCACACAAAGGTAATCAAAACTTGGTCCCTCTCTAAGAAGAAAGATAAGCATACACACACATAATTGTAATGTAGTGGATGTGCAATGAAAGGCCTGTGAACACATTACAAAAGCACATAAAAGAAGACAACTAAGGATTATTGGAAAATGTCAAGGAAGGCTTCACAGAAGTGATACTGAAGATGTCTATGAGGACAAGTGTGAGTCCACAGGGAATATCTGTATACGTTGTTCTCTCAGAGGAATGGTAGGAACAAAGACCATGGCTGTCTCAAGAGACAATGTCAGGGTTTTTTTTTTGTTCTGAAGTGAGGGGATAGGGCCTGACCTCACACCATGGGAGCCTGGCCTGACTCAGCTGTCCTTATGAAGTTGTATCTAGGGGTAAGCCTAATGGAACAGTGAAAGGGAATATGGGCTAGCCCCCGAGGCTACCGAGAAACCTTGGTTGTATAAGAGGTAGTGCCCAGACTGACTATTTGTATTAACAGGGAAAGGGGAGGAGAACACCAACTGGAAAGCATTTTTGCTGTGTCACAATTGGTCTTAATTTTCTGGGTCACTCTAAGGACATTTCAACAGATCCTACTCTAGGTTTCAGAGAAATCCGTGAAATAGAAACCAAAGATCCTTGAAAGCTGAGTTTCAGTTGAGTTTCTGAAAGGGAGAAGAGCAATAGTGGCATTATTCTGTTTGAAACTAAAAACTGTTCATTTGAGATCTAGTCTCTTCCAGTTGTTTGGCTTTGTATAAGCGAATGAAATGATGTTAGTCAATTAGAGATTATGGGTTTAAAAGAATCTGTAAAAATCATATTCTTATTTAGTGCTTAGAATATTCAATATTTCTCTGGATAACCATCTTTATTCAGAATGCAGTAATTACATTAATTAAATGAGCTATTTGCTGTCAACCTTCTGTTTCTAGTGCAGATAACTGGCATAAGAAGGGAGGGCCCGAAACTCTTTCTACTGACATAGCATTGGTTCTGGGTTAATTATAGTTTTGGTTCACTCCATTGTCAAGGATATCAAAACCAAGCTGCCTAGATTAGGCATAATTGAGGTTCAGGGTCAGTTTCCAAGGCTGAGATCAGGAACAGGGAGATTGAAATTTAATGTAAGAGTAAGGTTGTGCATAGGAATTGGAATCTGCATCTGATCGATGATCTAAGATACGACCAGAACAAGCAGTTTTGGGATAAGTAGGAAAAACAAGATTAGGGCTAACAAGCCAGAGGGGCAGGTGTGAGAAAGCAAGTCGGCCTCTTTACTTTTTCTTTCTCCTCCTCATTATACCAAAGACATCTTTTGGTTGATGTAGCTGTGAAAGCAGGTTATATCTTTCTGTCAGGATCCTGACTCTTTAATAATTCTGTTTCTTTTATAAGTTGCTTTCCTTGTAATGTCACCGAAGCCCTTTTTAATGTTATTTTTTCCTAAGCATTAACAAGAGGCATATTTGATACTAAAGGTTCATGAATAGTAGTTGACTCTTTTAATCATCATTTTTTTTTCTCTATCTCTGATCTTTCAAAGGGGAAAGTAAACAGATTTTGTCCATGAAAATTTAATATTCTGGAGCCAAGTATTTTGAGGTTCCTTTTATTGCCACTAAATAACTTTACATTACAAAAGTTGACTCAAAAATATCTTACATTAGTGACAAAGTCAAATAAAGTTAACAATTTGTTTTGCTATCCTACAAAGGTTAAAATGCTAACAATGTATTAATATAAATAATGGAACTAGTTCCCAAGACATTAAAGAGATATGGGGAAATTCTATTTTTAAAATTTAGTTGAAATGCAAAACACTATTGCTTTCTTAATAAACAACAATAAAAAATAATTAGTTATTAGAACTTCACACATAATCTTAGTTATTCATATGCGCTTTACAGGGTATCTTTGATAAAAGTTCAGTTAATTTACATGTATCCATATGGTGCCAGCAAGCAGTTCATACCATTTTACCTGAATGTGGTAATTACTATGTCAGACAATCAATTTTAATAGCAATGATATTGCAGTGTGAAGAGTTCACCTAGAGCTTAAAACCGTCACCAGTACTGCTTTTGTGAAGGATAATTGAGATTTTGTGTGAAACACTGAATGAATTACCTCTTGAAAATGAAAGGAATAATGAAGATAAAGTGCTATTGTTTAATGGTTAGTCCCTACCAAGCAAATTTGTGAAAATGAAATTGAATAGGAATTTTAAGTCTCAAAACTGTTCAGAGAGCTTTGAGTGAACCTGAAAGTTGAACTATGTCATTATAAAGACAAAAGCATCTTTACTTTTTCTTGTAAATTTAGCATCCCCAATCCTTTTCCCAATAAAATATTGGATCCTTAAAAATAGATGTTAATCACTACATATTGTTTTCCAATGGAAATAAATACAAAAGTAGGATTTTGGGTCTCTTCTAGTCACTAGCAGAGAACAATTTGCCACAATTTATGTAGTAAATAAACACATTATAAAATTTTTATGTTTTAGGGATTCATCAGAAGTGGTCACACATTCAGCTGATGCATTTGCACCTGTTGCTTATCTACGCTTTTTGGAATTGCACTTGGAGGACAAGGCAAGTAAATAAGATTTCACTTTCCCAGTGATTTCAAGAGAAAATTGGGATATGTGCATTGACTCTGTATCTATAATGCTATAACAACAGATAAAGGGTAAAAAAAAAAAAAAGTCATTTTATCATTAGTGATTTTTTTCCAGATCCTCAGTCAGTAACTAAAAATTTTGCAAATGTTTATGGTTTTGAGAACTCTATATGATGCCTAAGAAATTACATTTCTAAAGGGTTTGCAACTCACTTAAAAGGGGAATCATATATACATTAACCAATTAGAAGACGGTTCAGTATACAACCAAATATTAAATCACCTGGTAAAATAAGAATTACTTCATTGTACATAAGCATGAGGGGAAGGGTTTGAGAATGAATTGGAGTTTCATAATACAAAGTGTAGGAGTGGAGGAAAAGAAAAAATAAAAGCTTTTCCAAAAATATCCAAGAGAACAGAAGTACAAGTGAAAGATGGAAAGTGAAGCAAAAGTGATAAAGAGTTTTATTTTAAATACGTTGATTGTCAAGGTATAGCAGAATATCAGTTTAAGGATGTCTTGTGGAGTAGGTAGAGATCTGGATTAGACCCTTTGATTAAAGGGTCTTCTCCTTACTGGGTGTTGTAAGTGATGAATCACTGAATTCTACTCCTGAAACCAATATTGCACTGTATGTTAACTAACTGGAATTAAATTTTAAAAATTTTTTAAAGTCTGCCACTTGAAATATAAAGGATTGGAAGAAGTTTTCTGCATCTTTAGTGTTCTGTCACCAAGTCTTGAGGCTATTTATGATAGAGAATCTGAAGAGTCAAGAGGGTTTAATGAAGATTGGCAAAGGAAGGAAAAGAATGGTAACCAGAAATCAGGATGAAAGTGTTTCTCCAGGAAGAATATAATTATCCATGTCTAGAAAAATTAAGATAGAAAGTAAGTCAAAAGCTGATAATCCTCGAGAAAGTAAAGCTGTACTATTCAAACATCCTTCATATCCAGTGAAAGGAACCTCTTACTTTCTCGGTCTCTGCTGCTATTGCTATGTGCACACACACAAAATATAAACTATTGAATTTTTTGTTTTGTTTTTTGGGGTTTTTTTTGAGGAAACTTATTTTGTTCAGACATATCAGCCATTATATGTTCAGCTTTACCTAAATAGCTCATTGTTCACTTTGTTGTTTTAGTATTTCATTTGTTCACAGTCCATTTGCCCTCTCAAAGAAAAGAATGTTATTTCTTTAAGGTGGAATATTCACTGACACTAAATAAATATGGTGCATTTTCTTTCTTCTTCTTCTTCTTCTTTTTCTTCTTTTTTTAGGTGTCCACGGCGCCTGACAACTACAGAACATCTAATTATATACATAATTCTTGAAGAACATTTTGAACATTGTTTACTAAGCTGCCATTTCTATATGAAAAAAACTACACAACATTTTCTCAACTATTATATCCAGCTCATTCTCTGCATTTTTTATTAGAAATATATATCTTTATCAGAAGAAGTTAGTAGGAACATTGATTAATTGGGGAAATGTGAAAGCCTCATTCATTATTATTGGTGACTTCCTCAGGATTCACTTTCTCTGACTTTAGTTACCATGTCCTATCCATGACCTGTACATAGTATGTGGTCTTTTTTCCCCTTTTACTTCATCTCCAACTCTCATTTCTGTAACATTTATCTTCTTTCATCCCATTGTTTTATTTTTCTCCTTTTCTCTTTCTTGCTTTCATTTCTGCCAGTTGTCTAATGATGCAGAGCATTTGAAAATCAGAATGAAAAGGCAGTTTACTTAGCCAATCAAGTTTATTCTACTGGATATTACGGGCATGCCTTGTCATTTTTTGTTTCGATATAGTATTCATTTTATCAACAGTATTGGACAATCAGGAAGAATATCATTAGATCTGAGTATTTTATAACAATGAATAATGCAATTTTTATATCCAATGGGAAGAAGTCTTTTCAACAAATGGTGTTTGGGAAACTGGATAGCAACATGCAAACAAATGCAACTGGACCACTTTCTTACACCATACACAAAAATAAATTCATAGGGGAAGGGAGGGAAAAAAATGAAACATGATGAAACCAGAGGGAGACAAACCATAAGAGACTCTTCATCTCAGGAAACAAACTGAGGGTTGCTGGAGGGAAGAGGGGTGGGAGAGATGGGGTGGCTGGGTGATAGACATTGGGGAGGGTAAGTGCTATGGTGAGGAAAAAAGAAAATAAAAAGAAAATTAATTAATTAATTCGAAAAAGATTGAAGACCTAAATGTGGGACCTGAAACCATAGAAATTCTAGATGAAAACATGGGCAGTAACCTCTTTGACATCGGCCATGGCAACTTCTTTCTAGGTAAAAGCTCCTAAGGCAAGGGAAATAAAAGCAAAAATAAACTGCTGGTACTTCATCAAAATAAAAAGCTTCTACACAGCAAACGGAACAATCAACAAAACTAAAGGACAACCTAAGGAATAGGAGAAGATATTTGCAAATGACATATCTGACAAAGGGTTAGTGTCGGAAATACATAAAGAACTTAGAAAATTCAATACCCAAAAAACAAATAATCCAGTTAAAAAATGGGCAGAAGACATGGACAGACGTTTCTCCAAAGAAAATGTAGAGATGGCCAACAGACATGAAAAAATGCTCAACATCACTCATAAGCAGAGAAATGCAAATCAAAACTACAATGAGATATCCTTTCATACCTGTCAGAATGATTGAAATAGCAGGTGTTGGTGAGGATGTGGAGAAAGGGGAACTTTCAATGTTGCAATGTTGGTGGGAATGCAAACTAGTGTAGCCACTCTAGAAAACAGTGTGGAGGTTCCCCAAAAAGTTAAAAATAGAACTGCCCTATAATCCAGCAATTGCACAACTGGATATTTACCCAAAGAATACAAAAATACTAATTCAATGGGATACATGCACCCCTATGTTTATAGGAGCATTATTTACAATAGCCAACTTATAAAAAAAAAAAAATTTTGGTATTATCTGTGCTGACTTTAGACAACTTTATTTTGAATAGACTTAATTTTTTACAGCAATTTTGGATCCACAGAAAAATTGAGCAGAAGGAACAGAGAGTTCCCATATGCCCCCAGCCCTCACACATGCATAGTCATGCTATCAACATCTGGCGCCAGAGTAGTACATTTATTACAATCAATGAACCCACAAACAATGACACATCTTTATCACTTAAAGTACATAGTTTACATTATGGTTTACTCTTAATATTTCATACTCTATGGGTTTGAACAAATGTATAGTGACGTATATCCACCATTATGGCATCATACAAAATAGCCCTGTAAATTGTCAGTGCTCTGCCTGTTCATCCTTTCTTTTCCCTCTTACCCCTGGTAACCAATGATCTTGTTACTGTCTCTATAGTTTTACCTTTTCCAGAATGTCATATAATTGCAGTCGGAAAATGTGTAGCCATGCCCTTTCCACACTGGCTTTTTTCACCTAGGAGATATGCACTCAACTTCCTCCATGTCTTTTCACGAATTTTAAGTGTTGAGTATTCCATTGTCTGGATGTACCACAGTTTACTTCTCACTCACCTACCGAAGAACATCTTGGTTACTTCTAAGGTTTGGCAGTTATAAGTAGAGCTGCAATAAATATCCATGTGCAGGTTTTCGTCCTCAACCCCCTTGGGTAAACACCAAGGAGTGTGATTGCCAGATTGTACGGTTAAGAATATGTTTAGTTAGTAAGAAACCACCAAACTGTCCTCCAGCGTGGCGGTACAATTTTATATTCCCACTGTCAATGAATGAGAATTTCGGTTGGTCTGCGTCATCAGCTTTCAATATTGTCAACATTTTGGACTTTTTCCATTCTAATAGGTGTGCAGCGTTATCTTGTTTTAATTTGTGTTTTCCTGATGACATTTGACGTGGAACATCTTTTCATATGCTTTATTTGCCCATTCCCATATCTTTGGTGAAGTGTCTGTTCAGATCTTTGCTCATTTTTTTAATTGAGTTGTTTGCTTCCTTATTATTGTGTTTTAAGAGCTTATCGTGTATTTTGGATAGTAGTTCTATATCAGCTATGTCTTTTGCAGATATTTTCTCCCAGTCTATAGCTATCTTCTCATTTCCTTGGTACTGTCCTTTATGAAGCAGAAGTTTTAATTTTAATGAATTATTATTTCATTCATATGTCATACCTTTGGTATTGTATCTAAACAGTGATCCTCAAACCGAAGATCTTCTAGATTTTCTTTTATGTTATTTTCTAGGTGTTTTATAGTTTTACGTTTTACATTTGAGTCTGTGTTCCATTTTGAGTTAATTTTTATAAGGAAGTATAAGGATTATGTCTGGATTCATTTTTTTGTATGTGGAAGTATAGCTGTTCTGTTACCATTTGCTGAAAAGACTCTCTTTTCTCCGTTATTTCCCTTGCTCCTTTGCCAAAGATCAGTTAACTATATTTGTGTGGATCTATTTCTGGACTCTCTGTTCTGTTGCTCTGTTTATCTATTTTTTTTACCAATACCACAATGCCTTAATTAGTGTAACTTACTAGTTGTCTTGAAGTCAGTAATGTCAGCCTTCTGACTATTCTTTTCCTTCAATATTTTGTTGACTATTCTAAGTCTTTCCATATAAACATCAGAATCAGTTTGTAACTTGCTGACATTTTGATTAGGATTGCATTGAAGCTGTAGATCAAATTAGAAAAAAAAAAAAAACAGAGATTCTTGACAATACTGTCTTTCTACCCATGATCATGGAATATCTCTCCATTTATTTATATAGTTGTGTGATTTCTTTCATTAGTCTTGCTAAGACATTTTACTTGTCTTCATTATTAAAATTTATGTTAAATGTTGCCTCCTTTAGGCCCTTTTTTTGGTTTTGTTTTTATTTGTGTTTCTGTTTTTTTGCAAATGACAAGCTTTGATGTGGCATTCTTAGTGTGGAACCAGAGGGAAACAGTGAGGGTTTCTTTCCCAGAAATCCCACTGCATCTCAGTGGCTTGGGCAAAGGTTGGGCTAAGTCACCATCTTTACTCCTGTCCTCACACAGGTAATAGAGAAGGGTATGCTCTAGAGGGAAAACAAAGTATGATTTCCAAAAGAAAGATGAATAAATGCTAGAGGACAAAAATACAGATACCTTTTCACATGCTTTATCAAAATAACATTACTATTTCAAATTCATAGTAAATTAACATTCCACCCCAAATAATAGTGAGATGTAGAATGTAGTACCTTGAATATCACTCTGAAAATCTGTATCTGTTCCCTAAAGTCCTTTAATTTCAATTCATTCTATAACACATTTGCAATCTAGCTTGACCTCAGTTACTTTGATAAACTGCTGTTGCTCTTTTCTCAACTTTATAATCCCTAATTAATCCTTTCCTTGATAATATTGACCACCATCTCCTTGAAAAATTCCCCTGTAATGGTTATATGTCACTGTACCATTCTGATTTCTTCTATCTCCTTTAGTAGTTCCTCTGCTTCTTACCTTCAACAAATGTATATAACCCCAGTTCTTTTTAAGGTTGCATTTTTTTCTTTTTCTACATTTTCTGTCTCTGGGATTTTTGTCTTCTCCCACAATCTACTTTTCAGCTCTATGCAGATGATTCTAAAGTCACTCTCTTTCTGGTCTTTCTGCTTATTTCTGACTTTCTCTGTATTTCTGACTGGCTGCTGGACATCACTGCCAATATGTATCAAGTACATTGTGTACAAGCCTGAACCCATTTTCCCCTACAGGTGTAACTTCTGCCTGTTTTTGTTCTTTAACACAATTGTCTTCCCCTTAGTAACTCAGGACAGAATATTGGCATCATCTGTTACAGCTGGGTCTCCTTTACCATGACATTCAGTTGCTTGTCTAATTCTTTACATGCTAATTCTCTAATATATATTTTACACCATTCCATCTCCATGCCCATCTCTCTAGTTAAAGTCATATCTTGCCCAAACTCTTGGACAGCATACAGCTTCTTTAAGTGAACTCTTTGCTTTCATTATCTCCCTATTTTATTCTACTGCTGTATTTATTTTTGTGTCTCTGCACAAAAATCCATAATACAACTACATTGTTTTTTTAAATAAACAGGATGTTTAGACATTAATTGAAGACTGTATAACATGGTAGTGTAACTTCTTTTCTCAGTCTTGCTCTCAGGAACCCCCTACATGTATCCTTTCCTCTTAAATTGGATGGATTCTCCCTTACTGTGCCTTCTGCTTCTCTCCTCCCTTGCCTCTGGTTATTCTGTCTTATCTGTCTTCCTTTTTTTTTGAACTCAAATACTTACACATTTAGCCATACTAGATAAACTGTCCTAATACTTTGTTTCTTCCCTTCTTGTGACAAAAACTTAATCAGCTTTATGTTATAACGTTTAAGGACTTATTTCCACTAAGTTGTAAATTTCTTGAGGACTGTTCCTTTTTCATTTTTGTACTCTCTGTAATAGCTGTTCTGGAATAAGATTTTTGAGTTTGTAATTGATTGTTATTTTCTTACTTCATTTTTTCTTCTTACAGAATTTCATAAACATATGCTTCCTTTTCATGTTGCCTACCATTTAATGAAAATCACTTTCTCGTTCATTTTTCTTTTATCTTGTTAGAGAAGAATGCTCTTAAAGCAAGCTAGAATATAAAATATAACCTTTAGACAGGTTTTAGTGTAAAATTTATCACTAAGATTTTCACTTTACATATGATGACCTGTAAACTTACCCAATAATTAACCTAGTTAAATTTTATCTTTAAAATTATAAAGTTATTTATGCGAGTATAAAACTTATGTCAACTAAACAGGGGATCCCAAATAAAATAACTGAATAATGGAAAGCTTCAGGTTAAAAATGGGGAAATATATTAAAATTTCTTTGGGGTCTTGACTTTATTGCTTATGGCAAACTTGATGCTAAAATATG